GTAATATAAAACAAAATAAGTACAAACCAGGAGGAAAATGCCAGCCTGCTCTCCATGACGCTAGGAAATGGGCTTGAGGGATGGCCCACCACCACCAGGGGGCAGCCAGGGCTCCAGGTTTGAATGTCTCAGAGGCTCCTCCCAGGGGCAGGGAGCATTGCTCCTTGATCTGGAGGTGGTGGCAGGTGGGAGCTGTCTTTGGGGCCCCAGCGGAGAGCCCCTCTGCTCTCCTGCCCTCCCATCCTGGCCTCTTGGTTCCCTGGAGCCCTCAGTCCACCAGCAAGAGATTATGTCAACACAGCCCTGCTGCTTCTGCCCGGGACAATATTTGCCCTCAGGATCTGGGAAGGTTGCTATGGAGACTGGGGATGTGCTGCAGGAGGGTGGGGGGCAGTGAGGGGGGAGAGGCAGGGTCAGGGGAAGCACCCCCCCTCCTGGAAGAGGGTGAGGGGAGCCAGGCCTCATCTCTGTCTCATCTCTATCTGATGGTGTCTTTGAGAGTTTATCCCCATCCTCATTTATCTGTGTTCCAAGTCTCTCTGTCTCTCTGGACCGTTTCTTCATCTCTGTCTCTGATTATCGCTCTGATACCTGTCTCTGGGTCTCTGTCTCTCAGGTCTCCTCTCTCTGAGTCTCTTTCTCTGTCCTTTTACTCTCTCTCTCTCTCTCTCTCTCTCTTTAGGTTCCCATCCCTAGGTTTCTCCACATCTCTGTGTCTCTCTTGGTATTATGTCTCTATGTCTCGGTCTCTCTTCGGGTCTTGTCTCTGTCTTTCTGGGTCTCATGTCCTTCTTTGTCTCTGTCTCTCTCTGGAGTCCCATGTTTTTTGTGTTGGTCTCTCTAGGCCCCCATCTCTGGATCTCTGTCTCTGGGTTCCTGTCTTTCTCTGGATCCTATGTGTGTGTGTGTGTGTGTGTGTGTGTGTGTGTGTGTGTCTCTGGGTTTCTGTCTTTCAGGCCTTGTCTCTCTGCAGTCCCCAGGGGGCCATCTTGGCCTCCCATTTCTGGCCTCAGTCCCTATGGGGCCCCCCTCTCCCCATCTCTCTCTGCCTCATTTCTCCTGCACCATCTGCCGGCACTCCAGGCCCCTGCCTGCTCCCCACAGGCTCTTCTTGGCCAGGCAGCCGCATGGGGGGAGGCACACGTCCCCCAGCTTCATCCTGAGGTGGGGGGAGCACTGCCTGGTCAGGCCTGGGGTGGAGGGAACAACAGCCTGGAGACCTGGGACCAGGGGACATGGAGAGAGAAAAACAGACAGACACCCTGAGAGGAGATAGGAAAAGAGGGAAGAGAAAGGAGAAAGCTTCAAGACAGGCAAGAAGAGACTGACCTGGAGAATGGAGTGAGCAAGAGAGATGAGGAGGGGGTGAAAGGGAACCTGGAGGGAAGAGAAAAGACAGTCTAGCCGACAAGAGCGGAAGACAGACAGAGTGCGGGCTTAGAGGAAAGGAGAAAGGAGACATTCAGGCCGAGGAGAGAGGAGATGGCGTGGAGAGAGATGGATGATAGAGAGAGAAGAACAGGGGGACAGGGCAGGGCTGCTTCTCTGCCTGCAGCTTCCAGAAGCGCTGAGCGTGGGGATGGGGGAGGGCCCCTGTGGCCACCCCTGTGGCCCTGGTGCCTCCTCCTCAGACCCTGGGAGACTGTAAAAGCCCTCAGGAGGGCTGAGATGGGCAGGGGTCCAGTCGGGGACCCAGGCATCACCCCTCCTGTCCTTCCCGCCCACCCCCCACCCAGTGCTCTGTTCTGCCCTGTGTTTTCCCAGAGTGACTTGATGAGGGAGGGGCGAGGGGCTCTGAGCCCCAGTAGGCTGCTCATCTCCCGGCTCCTGCCTTGGTTATCTCTCCTCAGGGTCCCCGTCTTTCAGGCTCTCTCTCCCTCCACCCCTCCCCATCTCCATCTTCCAATTTGTATCTATTCTCTCTCTGTCTTTCTCCCTCTCTTGGTCCCTGTTTTCTCTCCCCTGTTTTGTTTTGTTTTCTCTCTCTCTCTCTCTCTCTCTCTCTCTCTCTCTCTCTCTCTCTCTCTCGGTATTTCTCTCTACTTTTCTGTCCTTTTCTATTTCTTTCTCACTATCTGTCTCTCTTGGTCTCTGTCGTCTCTGCCTCTTCCTGTCTCTGCCTTTCTCTGCCTGTCTCTGGTTTTTCTTGGTCCTTGGTTTCTTTTCCTGTCTCTCTCACCACCTCAGTTCCTCTCCCCTGCTTCCCCCTCCTGCCCCCAGCCTCTCTCCTCCCACTTTCCAGCCTCCCCCCACCTTCCCATCCCTAGCAAGTGACCCCCAGGCCCTCCTGAGGCCAAGAAGAGACTCCCTCCCAACTCCAGCCTCTTCCCGAGGTGCCGGGCAATCTCAGACCCCTCCCCTCTCCACTTCAACTGAGCCTTTCCCAGGACCCAGAGGGCGCCAGGAATGTGGGGCAGAGAGCAGGGAGGCCAGCTGGAGGTCAGGAAGCCAGGACCCACCCATGTCAACCCCCCTCCCCCAGACTGGTCTCCTTTTAGCCTCTGGTGCTGGATCTCACGCCACCATTACTCCCTGCCCCTCCCGGGGCCTCTGGGCCTCAGTTTCTCCTCTGCAAAATGGGCAGACTCACCTCTGTCCCATTTACCTCACAGCTCCCCAGGGAGTGTGTGCTCATGAATGTTACTAGTATGATTAACGTGCAGGAATTGGTGATTTGTATTAAAGGGGGAAGCGAGTGCTGAGAGTCGGGACGCAGTTTCTAAGCCAAATATTCTCCGCATTTCAGAGCAAAGGAAAAGACTGAAAGTGGAGATTGTGAGGGGGCGTGTGATTCAGTGGTGACTGTGACCAGATCACGTGAGGCTATGGGTTCGTGTGTGATCATGGGATGATGTGTGATCCTGTGGAAAACTGTGTGACTGTGTGTGACTGTATGTGACTTGTGAGTGCGGGTGAGGCTGTGATGGAGAGTTGTATGTTTGTATGACCTTAGCACTGGATGTGACTGAGGATGACAGTGTGACAATGTGACACCAGGAGCTCATGAGAGTGTGCCTTAGTGACACTGGGGGAATGTGTGTTGTTGGAATATGACTGTGGACTCTGTAGGTGATTATGTGAAGTGTGTGACTCGATGTGTGAGCGTGTTAATGGGTGGAGTTGTGTAACATTGTGTGTTACCTTCAGATCGCGTCATTAAAGGATTGTATGACTGCGTGAGGAACCGTATAACTGTCTGCTTTTATTTCGTCGACCATCATTCTTTGAGCCTCTGCTCTATGCCCCAACCTGTGCTGAGTGATGCTGGGGACCCAGTGGTGACTGAGATGCCCTGGCCCTGTCCTCATGGGGCACACAGGCCGGGGGGGGAGACAGACAGTGTTTGTGATGTGACCTAGTGATGGTGTGAATGTGTGTGTGATGGACACTGTATCATTGGGACTGTGGGAAGCTGTGATTGTGTTTCCGTGTGAGCAGAGGAGTCCATGCCCCAGGTATGTGGCTGTGTCACTGCGAATGACTGTTAGCCTGTTTGGGTCTCTGGGTGTGACGCTGGATTGTAGGACTGTGAATGAACATGAAGAACATGTTCTGTGAGGAACAGTGTGTGAGATTCTGTGTCATGCCTCCCTGCGGCTGGGTGTATGGGATTGTGCGTGACACTGTGTGTGACTGAGACTCCGTGTGCAGTGGCTGAGTGGGACGGGTGGGACAATGTGAGAGGCTGTGCACCCTGGGAGGGGGGTCCTCAGGATGATGACAGTGACTGTTCTCCCACGTGACCCTCGGCTGTGAGTGGCTGTGACACTCACACGCAACTGGCCCCCTGTGCTGGGTCTCTGCCCCAAGCTCCCCCTTCCTGTTCCTTGGCCCGCCCTGGCCCCGCCCCCTCCCATCACCCCAGGCTGTCACCTCTTCCAGAGCCCAGGCGAGGCAGTGGAGGCAGCAGCGTCAGAAGCAAGTGATCGAGAGGAGGGCTGGGGACAGGTGAGGGCTCCCCCCATCCCAGTCCGTTCCCCCTGCCACACGTCCCCCTCAAGTCTCTGGGCCCCTCTTTCTGCATTTCTTAGCCTGTGCTTTTGTCCCTCTGCCCCTCTGTGCCCACAGTCTATATCCTCCTTCTGTCTGTCTCTCAGCATCTCTGTCTCCACGTCTCACAATCTCTGTTTAGCCTCTAGATAGCTCTGTATCTCTGCCTCTTTCTCCCAGTCTCTGTACCTCTCTCCACGTCTCTATCTCCTCTTTGTCTCCTAGCCCACATTTTTGTCTCTGTCTTCCTCTGCCTTTTGGTTTCTGGTCTCTTGCTGTGTGTCTCATCCTGTCTGTCTCTGTGTCTCTCAGTCTCTATATTTGTCTCATGTCTCTGTGACTCTGTGTCTTTCTGGGGCTCCAACCGAGATCCTCCTTGCTTTCCCCTTTCCCTACATGGTGCCAGCTGTGGGGTGTTGGGGGTTAGACCGATTTCCAGGCATCTGGACCCCTGCAGACCTAAGAGGGTCTGATGCCTCTCTGGTCCCTAGGAGAGGATTGTCCCGCTGACTCTGGGTTTTATCCACAGTAGGGAAAGTTTGATACGGTCGGGTTCCTATCCGCGATTTGAAAACCCTTTGGGAGAGTGGGAACTTCAAACAGTCATTTCAAGCTCCGTGCCCTCCTCTCCAAGGTGGTCCCCAGGTTCCCCGGAGTCTCTAGGTCTATACTCCGGGTAACACTGGCGCTTTTGCCCAGCGCGGCTCTAAGGCAACCGCACTCTCAGCAAACACCCCCCTTCTACCGCCGCTGCCCCAGAAACAGCCGGGAGCGGGCCCGGGAGTCAGGTGTTGGATCTCGGTCTCCGCCCACTCCTCACCACTCCCGCCCCCTGCCCCAAATCACCACTCTTGGGGGAGGGGGGCGCTGCCTCCGGGTACCTGAACCCCTCTGCGTGGTGGCGCTGGGGCTGGGGAAGGGGGGCGGCGGCTCCTGATTCTGCCCTCGGACCCCCAGAGCCAGCTGCCCTTGCGTGACCGGACCCTTCGCCCCCCATGCCCTGCCTCTCACACGATGCCGAGCTGTCCACCCTGGTGGCTGCTACTGCTGCTTTCGCTGTGGGAGCCGCTGCTCCGGAGGGCGGAGGTGAGAACCCGAGGAGCCAAGGAGCTCAAGGCTTGGAGGGATGTCTGGGGCCGGCTTTTAAGGCTTATCTCACTGGGAAGATTGTTTTAAGACCTCGCCGCCTCCTTCCCGTAAATTTCCTGAAGGTTTTCAGCTCCCCACAGCAACTCCCCTGGTGGTTTCTAGGCACCCCTCAAGACTTAGAAGAGGTTTCTAAGCCACCCAAGACTCCTGAGCAAAACAGGACAGCCCCTCCAAGTCCCTCTAGGGTGTTTCTGGCCCTCAGGAACCACGCTGCCTGGGAGCAGGGGTCAGCGCGGGGCGGGATTGGGGGGTCCACCCTTCTCTCTTTTTGTAGGCAGGCTCTGAGGGGCAGACGGCGGGAGAGCTGTACCAGCGTTGGGAACGGTACCGCAGGGAGTGCCAGGCGACACTAGAGGCTGCGGCGCCCCCAGCAGGTGTTACTGGGGTGGAGATCTGGGAGCAAGAGAAGGGCTGGGGCTGAGAGGGGTGGGCTTGAGGCCGGCCTAGGACTGATCCGCGGGGCCTGAGAGAAGTCTGTGTTAAATGTGGGCGGCGTGGGAGTGGCCTGAGATGAACCTTGAAAAGGGAGGGGTCTTGGGCGAGGCCTATACTAGGTGGGTGGGACCTAAAGTGGACCGCGAAGAGGGAGTTTGGGGTGGAGCCTAGGAAGGGCCTTGCAGAGTGGGAAGCATCTGCGGCGGGAACTTGCTTGGTGGAAGGAGCCCAGAGCAGGGTTCGGAAGGTGGGCGGGGCCTGAGGTCTGGTGGGAGGAGCTGTGACGGAGCAGGGACCCGACCACTCCAGGTGGGCGGGGCTGGGGCAGGGCTTGTGTGTGGAAGGCGGAGAAGCATTGGGCGAGAGGTACAGGTCCACCCGACATCTGGCCCCCACGCCCACCCCAGGCCTCGCCTGTAACGGGTCCTTTGATATGTACGTCTGCTGGGACCACACTGCACCCAATGCCACTGCCCGTGCGTCCTGCCCCTGGTACCTGCCCTGGAACCGCCATGGTGAGCTGCCTCGTGGACACCGGGCCCTCCCCTGACACAAACAGCTCTCTTTTAACCCTGGCCCCAGACACCACTGCCCCGCAGCAATCCTGCTCCTCTTTGTCCGGCTGGGTGTCTCCTTCTGTCTGTCCACCCCTGGCTGGGTCACCGCATAATGCCCCTTCTCTGTCTCTGTATCTCTCTGAGGACCACCAGGTTCTTATTTTCTCTCCTTTTCATGAGTCTGTTTCTGCACATCTTGGTCTTCCTTGCCTAACTAGCTGTGTGACCTAGGGTAGTTTATTTAATTTCTTTACGTCTCACTTTCCTCGTTTGTAAAATGATGTTTATGATAGTACCAAGTTCACAGCCTTGTTATGAATATTAAATTAATTGATACGTGTAAAATGCTACACAAGGGTTTATCATCATCCTATCACTGGATCTCTCTCTGCCTTCGTCTCACAATTTGTCTTTCTGCCTCCATCTCTGTGCCTCTGATCCCCTCCCTTGTTTCCCCACAGTGGCTGCAGGCTTTGTCCTCCGCCATTGTGGCAGTGATGGCCAATGGGGACCTTGGAGAGACCATTCTCAGTGTGAGAACCCAGAGAAGAATGGGGTTTTTCAGGTAAGAAGAGGTGAGGGATTCAGGGTAGGATGTCCAGACATAGGCAGAAAGCAGCCTCAGACAGAGCCTCAAACCCCTGGTACTGTTCAGGACTCTGGGTTCCAAGTGATAGAAATTCAGCTCCTTGTTTGAAGGAGAAAGAAAAAGAAATATATTGGCTTCTGTGATTGAAAACTATAAGGCTACAGCTTCAGGCACAGCTGGATCTGGGTGCTAAAATGATGTGGTTGGGAATCTCACCATATTGTTCCTCTGTTTTTCTGTATGATGGTGTCCTCTTTTCTGTGGAGTGGAAAAGGTGGCTCTCACTGGCACCAGGCTCACATTCCACCTACCAAGCAACAATGTAGGAAGACTGAGTTTTTTTCTCAATAGCTCTAACTTTATGTCCCAGGACTGACTGTCATTGGCCTGATTTGGGTCATATAATTGCCCTCGACTAATCGTTGTGTGTGTGTGTGTGTGTGTGTGTGTGTGTGTGGTGTAGTGTTAGATAGAATGCTTTGATTGGCTGGTCACATGCCCAGACTTGGAGTTGAGGGGCGGAGTGCCCCACTCAGACAATGGTAGGTGGATCCCCAAAGGAACACTGGGGTGTGGGGTAGGAACAAAGAGCAGATATCTCTCCAGCACCTTTATGGCCCTAGGAGAAGAACTGAGCTCTATTTCTGTGTCTTCTTGCCCCACCCCCAGGACCAAAGGCTCAGCTTGGAGCGGCTGCAGGTTATGTACACCGTGGGCTACTCCCTGTCCCTTGCCACACTGCTGCTCGCCTTGCTCATCTTGAGTTTCTTCAGGTGGGACCCCCAGCCCTAAGTGGAGGCAGCAGAGACTGGGCTTCAGTTTTCCCAGTAAGATGGGGTAGTCAGGCTCCACCGGCAACAAGCATTTAATGGTGGTTCTGTGGGAAGGGCTGGGGGGTAGTTTAAGGGACTCTGTGTGGCCAAGGCCAGGTCCTCAGACTGCCTTCCAAATCCCCCAGGCGGCTGCGCTGCACTCGCAACTACATCCACATCAACCTGTTCATGTCTTTCATGCTGCGGGCAGCAGCCATCCTCACCCGAGACCGTCTGCTTCCTCCACCTGGCCCCTACCCTGGGGGTCAGGCTCCTATCCTGTGGAACCGGGTGAGCACCGTCTCTCTCTTTCTCAAATTGGGATTCTCTCTCCTCTGGTGAGGCCAGAGGGTTCCCATTCCATTTACTACCTCCTACCCTATCGACAGTTAATCTCTCTTGACCCTTCCAACACAATTGGAGAGGGACCCTCCCAACTCGGCCTCCCCCATCATTGAACTCTCCCACCCCATCACCTCCTCTATTGGAATTTTCCATTCCCGTTCTCTCAGTATCTCACCCATCGTTGGACTTTCGCACCAATGAGAGAATCCCCTGCTAGAGGTGAGACGGTGGCAGGACGGGAGAAACTAACTAGTGGGGGGATTTGGTAGATACCAATTTGTTCCTGAGAGACAAGGTGGGAGAGACTAAAGTCTAGGGACAGCGGGGAGGAAACCTATTAAGTTGGGCCATACCAATTGTTAAAAAGCCAAGGGGTGGGAGAGTCCATATGCTGGCGGGACATGAGAGAAAACTTTTGAGAGGTGGAGTAGTTGAGTGGAATTCTTAGAAGGAGATGGGGTTGGGAGAGGCCATATTTGGGGGGATCTGGGGGGAACTCTGATAGCAAGATGTAAGATACCAATTGTTAAAGAGGTTAGAGTGGGAGAGTTCATATAGGGAAAGAGAATAGGGCGAAAGAAACCAAAACGACATCATCCTTTGGTGATATAGAATGAGAGGAGAATATTTGATGTCAAGAGACGACAAGAGATGGGGGTGGAGGGGGCCCTGACTGCCCCCTTCTCTTGTCTGGCCACCCCCTAGGCCCTAGCTGCCTGTCGCACGGCCCAGATCTTGACCCAGTACTGCGTGGGTGCCAACTACACGTGGCTGCTGGTGGAGGGCATCTACCTGCACAGCCTCCTGGTGCTTGTGGGAGGCTCCGAGGAGGGCCACTTCCGCTGCTACATGCTCTTCGGCTGGGGTGAGCCCCGACCCTGTCCCCTGCCCAGCCCAGCGCGCCTCCCCTCTCCCCAGCTACCCTGCTGGTCTACCTCAGGGGGTCTCCTCTCCTCTCTAGGCTTCTGCCTCCCCTTCCCGGCGGGGGAATTCCTCGGGTCTTGGGCCTGGCGGGGCCCGTGCGCGCTCTGACAGCTGCGGCGGGGTGGGGGGCGGGGGTTGGGTCTGCACAGGGGCCCCCGCACTTTTCGTCATTCCTTGGGTGATCGTCAGGTACCTGTACGAGAACACGCAGTAAGTCGTGGGTCTGGGGCGGGGCTTGGGAGGTGGGCGGAGCTTTGAGGGACGCGGGAGGGGTACGATGGAAACGTGGGGAGGTTCTAATTGCACCTAGGGACCCGGGTGGGTTCTGAAGGAACAGGTCGCTTAGAAAGTTGGGTTCCAGGACTACGGGAAGGGGAGGGATGAGGGCTGGGCCTAAATAGTAGCGGGCGGGGCTTTAAGGAAATGTGGGTGTGGCGTTAAGGAAGGTGGGCGGGGCCTGGGGAGTTTAAGTGCTTAATTCGGCGAGCCTAAGGTTTTCTGTCCCTTAGCTCTACTCCTCCTCCTCCAGGTGCTGGGAGCGGAACGATATCAAGGGCATTTGGTGGATTATAAGGACCCCTATCCTGCTAACCATCTTGGTACGGCCGGCCCCACCTCTTTCAGGCTGGTCTCAGGGATTTCCTGTCCTGGGAAGCCTGGGCGGTGGGGGGTAGGCCTGAGAGCGGGGAACTGGCTCAGTCTCTCTCTCTCTCCCCCCGCAGATTAATTTTCTCATCTTTATCCGCATCCTTGGCATCCTCGCGTCAAAGCTGAGGACGCAACAGATGCGCTGCCCAGACTACCGACTGAGGTGAAGGAGGGCGGTGGGGACGGAGGGGAAGGTGGCTGGGTGCAAGATGGGGGACCCGGGGCCGTGGGACCACTGCCACCCTCTACCCCCAGGCTGGCTCGCTCCACGCTGACGCTGGTGCCCCTGCTGGGCGTCCACGAGGTGGTGTTTGCTCCCGTGACTGAGGAACAGGCCCGGGGTGCCCTGCGCTTGGCCAAGCTCAGCTTTGAGATCTTCCTCAGTTCTTTCCAGGTGCTTAAGCAGGGTGCAGGAGCTACACCCTTTGACTTGGGGCCCTCCTACTCAGAGGGGCACGAGGGATACAATAATCCTCTGGCGCAGCCACAGAATGGGGTGTGAAGATAGGATTTTGTTCATTCATTCTACACAAAATACTGAGCTAGCGCCATCCCCGGGCTGGGGAAGCAGCAGAGAGGAGACAGGAGACCAGGCAGCCCCAGCAGTACTGCCTCCCGGTTAAGATAGAGGGCTTTGAGGCCAGCCAGGGCTGGGGCCAAATTTGGGTTGTCACTCCCAGCTCTGTGGCCTTCACCTCAGGGCCAGGGCAAGGGTGAGGCATCTGAAGTACCTAAAGCGCAAATTTTAAGGAAGTGCTCCCTGAAGTTGAAGGCCCACCCTGCCCGTGCTTGCCCTACCCTAGCCTCCACCCTGCTTTTTACCTTGTTGGGCCTCAGTTTTCTCATCTCTAAAGTGGGGACAATACTTGTCTCATTTCATAAGGCTGTTCATTCATTACATTCAGCAAAACTTTATTGAACACTTACTATGTACCAAACACTCTTCCAGGCTTACTGTGGGGATACAGCCAAGAACCAAATGGTGCCTGCCCTCTAGTGAGAGAGACAGATGCTAAAGATACTATATAAGTAAAATATACAGAATGTCAGATGGTGAGACATGCCTAAAGGAGGGGGGAAGAAAGCAAGAAAACAGAGATGAGGAGCCAACAAAGAAGGATGGGGTTATAGACAGGGGGTCAGGGAAGGCCTCGCTGAAAAGACACTGGAGCAGAGACCCAAAGATGAGGGAACAAGCCAGGAAGATATTTGGGAAAAATGTTCCAGAAAGAGAAATGCGAAGTGCAAGATCCCTGAGGTGGGAGAGAGTACCTGTCATGATGGAAGAAGGTCAGCATGCCTCAGCATGGGGAGCCAGTGAGAGCAAGTGGGGGGCGGGGGGGAAGGACAGAGGTGAGATACCTGGGCAGATCCTTGAGCCAAACGAGGACTTTGGCTTTTCCTCTGAGTGAGGTGGGAGCCAAGAGAGCAGAGGGACGTGATCAGAGTTAGATATTAAAAGGATCGTGGAAAGTGATAAGAAATATCTTAATAATTACACACAAAATAATTGTCTTGCATTAATATATCAATTACTTTCTTAATTATAAATATACTTTATATTTATTTAAATTTATATTTAAAATATGTATAAATTTATATAAATATAAAACTAATTCTTTATTAAAGTTTATAAATAGGGAATTCCATGGCGGTCCAGTAGTTAGGACTCCGTGCCTTCACTGATGAGGGCCTGGGTTCGATCCCTGGTTGGGGAACTAAGATCCCACAAGCCGCACAGTGTGGCTAAATAAATAAAATCATGTAGTAAGTTATGATAAAATTCAGAAAAAGGTTTAACTATGTGCCACGCACTACGGCTTCTTGCATATTAATAATACCTCAATTCTCACGACCACCACTGTATTATTACTCCATTTTCCAGATAAAGAAACTGAGTCACAGACGGGTTAAGCAGCTTACCCAAGTGGGGAAGAAAGTGGGGAAGCGGTGATCACATCCAAGCAGGCTACCTCCGGGGTCACTTGTTCTTAACCTCCAGCCCTGATTGCTCAGCAAACTGGCGAGGGCAAGGGGGGATTCGGGAGCCGGGGAGAAGGTGACTGCAATAGTGTAGGACCAGGGTGGCGGCAGGCGAGGTGGTTTGGGGCCTGGAAGGGGTCAGAGCTCATTAAGGGGTGTTTATAACCCTGCCCCTGCCCCCAATTTAACACCGCACCTCCTCTGGCAGGGTTTTCTGGTCAGCGTCCTCTACTGCTTCATCAACAAGGAGGTAGGGAGAGCCCCGGCCCGCCGCCCACGCCCTCTGCCGGCCGCGCAGGGAATGGCGCGCCCCGCGCCGCCTCTGAGCGCTGTCCCGTTGCAGGTGCAGTCGGAGATCCGGCGGGGCTGGCACCGCTGCCGCCTGCGCCACAGACTCGGCGAAGAGCCGTGCCAACCCCCCGAGCGCGCCTTCCGGACCCTGCCCTCGGGTTCCGGCCCCGGCCAGGTCGCCGCCGGCCGCGCTCTGTGCTCGAGGACACTCCCAGGTCCTGCGGGTGAGGCCAGCCATGTCTTAGAAAGTTACTGCTAGGCTGCGGGATTCTTGGGTCCATTCAGTTAGCACGTATTTATTGAGCGCTTGCTGTGTACCAGGCCTGGTGTGGAGAGCGCTGGGGAAATGGGGCGGCGCAGGGGCGGGGGCGGAGGGGAAGGAACAGAAGACAAGGTCCCTATTCTAGAAATCACAACTGAGTGGGGAAACAGACCGTGAGGATAAACCAAGTTACATATACGCTGCGGAACGGCTTATAAAGAAAAGTTAGAAGGGGACCTAGTGTGGTCTGGGGCATCTCTGAGGAAGTGACATTTAAGCCATGCCTGAAAGAGGTGAGGGAGACACCTTTGGAAAGAATTCGCGGCGAGATTCTAGGCAGAAGGAAGCACATCTGCGAAGGCCCTAGGGCGGGAAGGAGCTTGGCGGTGTCTGAGGAACAGAGAGGAGGCCTGCGTGTCTGGAGTGGGGTGAGTCAGAGCCAACAGATGGAGAGAGAAGTGGGAGGGGGCAGAAGAGTGGGAATTTTATTTCAGGTGCACTGAAGGTTCTTTGGAGCGGCTCCTAATGGAGTGGGCTAAGTTTTTTAAACAGATCTGTCTGCCCTCTGGGGCAACAGATTATTAGGGGCAAGGGTGGCAGCTGGGAGCCCAGGGAGGAGGCTAATGCAGGTGGGAGGTGATGTTGGCTAGACCAGGGTGGTGGCCACATAGGGTGTGAAACAGTTAGATTCTAGAGCTGTTTTAAAGGTAGAACTGAGAGGATTTGCCGAGGAAGGAGAGAAGCCAGGGAAGACTTCTCGTTTGGGGCTGGAGAGAGGAAAGAGGGAGATGGGGTTCAGGGTGGGGAGAACCAATAGTGCTCTTTGGACATGTTAAGCTGGGAATAAGGGTCTGGAGGTCAGAGTGAGAGACAGAAATGTGAGTGGCACTGGGGTCCAGAGAGGAGGATTCTGTGTGTAGATATCAACATGGGCAATTCAGGGCAGGTGTCAGAGCTGAAACCTACATCCAGGGAGGCCAAGACCACTGCTAGCTGGAGAGTGTGGACACACATGCATACCCTTCTTGGTGGCTCCTGGGAACTAGGAGAATTAGGAGGAAAGCCAGCAGTCTCACTGTGGCTGGACCACCTGTACACATGCAAGACCCTCACTCCTAAATCCCTCCCCCACATAGACACACACTTAGATTCAGTTGGTACCTGGGTGTTGTCCATTCTTTTCCTTGGGGTCCCCAGCTCCCTGGACAGATATGGCCCATGGTCGCTGAACTCAGAGTCCTTTCAAGCATGTGGTCCTGCTGGGCCCCTCTTGTGGGTTCTGGGAAGGTGGGGGCCTAGGGCTGGGCCCTTGTAAATAAAGCATGAGAAACAGTTGTTTTTTGTGGGGGTGGGGGGTGGGAAAATCTTCTTGGCCAGGCCATAAGGGAAATGACAGAGGCGGGCTGTGTGGCCAGATGCTGGTGGTGGCCTTGCACCCTCTGGAGAGCAGTACTGCTCAACTTCAGCCACGTGTTGCCAAGAGATCATGGACACCATGCTGCCACCATCCTCCATGCCTAAGAGAACGTTCCCAGCTGGGAACGTTCATGTGATCTCCTGTTATTTAAATTATTTACAATGTGTATGATTAAAAATTGTGTGTGTGCCAAACATTTTCTGAGAGCTGCTTCTCCAGAAAGGTAGTGTAGGAATAATAAAGCTGCAGGAACCAGCCTAGTTCAAATCTTAGTTTTTGGCTACTGATTAGCTGTGTGACTTGGGGAAAATTCCTAACCTCTCTGTGCCTAAGTTTCACTTCTGGAAAATGGGAATAATGATGGTACCAACATCCTAGGGTTGCCTGAGATTCCAATGAGTAACTCTTAGGATACTGCCTGGTGCATGGAGCACACTTGGCCAGTTTGCCTAGTGCTTTTCCTGCAACCTGTTTTCACTTTCACTCACCGTAACGGAAGAGGGGATTAGAGACCATTTGGGCAGTGGGTTGGGTAAAGAGATGAGGAAATTCAGGTTGATGCCAGGCAGGGGTGTCCTAGGCTAGAATCTTTGCTGCCAGCCTGCAAGGCAGGGAAAGGAATTCCTATTTCCCGGGGAGAACAGGAGGGATGTGGGGCAGGGATTCGAACTGTGACCCCGGGGCTTGTGCTGTCCCAGCTCCTGCACAAGAACCAAATCCTGGGGGTAAGTTTCCTGCGGCAGCATCATTCCCCACACTGTTATGGCTCCATCCTGCTCCCCAACAGTCATAAGGGCCTGGCTCCCTGGGTTTGAACTTGGCTCCATTGTCTCCTGAGCGATCCTGGGCAAGTCACTTACCTTCTCTGGGCCTCGGCTGTCTCATCTGTAAAATGGGGTGCCTCTAGCATCTATCTCCCAGATGGTTGTTCAAATTAGATGTGAACCACTCAGTAAACATAAGCCTTTATTACCCCACAGCCATTGCCTTGCATGTGTCAGGCCTTCTCCTGCTGCAGGGTCCTCAGCTCTGTCGCTAACGGGATCATGGCTGCGCCTTCCACAGCTCAGTGTGTCAGACAACTCATTCGACCCTGACCTCAGACTTGCGAACTGCACCAGCCTGGCACTTGGCCTTATCTGGAGAACACAGATAAAGATGCAGAGACAGAACACAGAGAGAGCTGGAGGGTGGGGGGGGGTCGCGGAGCATGATGTGTGTGCGTCAGAGCAAGACAGGGATTTCTCTTAATCCACCCACAATAAGTAAGGTCCCCCTTTCCCACCTCTATCTCCCTACATTTGTCAGAGAATTTCTCTCTAGGGTAGTTAAGCTGTGATTTGAGGGCAGCAGAGTTCAGGGGCTAGGCCACAGGCTCAGGAGCAGGGTGGGTTTGAATGGTGGCATCACCACTTCCTGGCTGGATACCCCTGGGGAGGCGCCATCACCTCCTTGTGCCCCAGTCCCCGCCTCCGGAATTGGAAGTAATAAATCACAGTGCCCGCTCAGAGTTGTTAGGAAGTCTGAACAGCACAGAGTGTAGGGCCTGGCAACCGCACAGGTCAGGTGTCAGCTACAAATGCTGTTGGTATTGAGTACTAACTGCTTTAACTGCAGCTCTTTCTCCTGTCAGTGAGGGCAGCTTGGGGGCTCTTCTGGGCACGGCTGTGTCCCCGGCATTGCAACACAGGGCTGGGCACAGAGCAGGCACTTGGGGGAATGTCTGACTGAACAAATGGAAAAAAAAAAAAAAAAAGACTGAAAGAAATTTTGAGTGAGACTGACTTACTGAGAGGTGGGGAGAAGGAAGAGAAAGAGAAAGTGACGAGAAGCTAGAACAAATTAAAGCACAAAAGGCAGCAAAAGCTCCCTCTGCCTAACCAATTCACTTCACAGAAGGGGAAAGTCAGGCCTGGAAGGGGCAGAGACCAGGCCTCTTCACCTGCTCAGAGAGGTCCCAATCCCCGTGCTTGGCCCCATGCCCGGCTGTCCCCCTCCTGGGTCTGCCCCACTCTCTAGGCCCTGTGAACAGACAGAGGCCACTAGAAAAAACACATGACTTTATTATTCCCAGCACAAAGGGCAGGTCTTTGCAAAACGAGGGGGATAGTTCTGACGGCAGGGAGGAGGCCCCTACTTGCCGGCGATGAGCGGGTTCCGCAGGACCACAATGACCGAGTCCCCGCGCAGGAACATTTTTGAGATGTAGCGGTCCTTGTTGACTGGCTTGGACTTCTTCTTGCCCTTGCCACTCTTGGGGACTTCGGTCCACATCTCCTTCACGTTCTCCAGCACCATGTTGCAGTGCCTGGTGGGCAGAAGGAGGCATCAGGAATGAGAGGGAGCCTCCTGACCCCCTCCTCTGTGCAGCACTGCCTCTTCCTCCATCAGCGTGGCATGGGGGAAGGTGCAGGCCCGGGACCAGGATGGCTGGGGCTCCAAGGCCACCTCTGCAAGTCCTCAGCTTGAAGCTTGGGCAAAGGACTTCACTCCTCTGTGCCTCAGTTTCCTCCTCTCTATAATGGGGACATTCATGGTGCCTACCTCCTAGGGCTGTTGTGAAGATTAAATGCATCAATACAGTATTCTTGTTAAGTACTTAGAACAGGGCCTGGCACAGGATAAAGGCAAATGAAATGGTGCTGCTTGTGCTTTTTAACTCCGAGTACTTCTGGTGGCATAAGCAAAGGTACAATTTCTCTTTGGAGAACCAGAGGTCCCTGGGGCCTGAGGCCGGTACATGACGCCTCCACTCCAGTCCTGCTTTCTGTCCCTGTCCTCAGGGTGCTGGGTGGGCACGTGTGACGACAGTATGGATTAGCTCAGTCAACAAACGCTTGCAATGAATACAACAATGAATAAAAGAGATAATAACCCTGCCCTCATGGGGTCTGCAGTCTAGTGAGGGGTGAAGAACACTAAATAAGTAAACAAAGACACCTGTAATACACTGTCAGGTGGTAGCAAGTGCTATGAAGAAAAATTAAAGCAAGGTAAAGGGATAGGAGGATACAGGGAAATATTACCAAGCATAAGAAAGATGAGGGGGCTTCCCTGGTGGCGCAGTGGTTAAGCATTCACCTGCCAATGCAGGGGACACGGGTTCGGGCCATGGTCCGGGAAGATCCCACATGTCGCGGAGCAACTAAGCCTGGGCGCCACAACTACTGAAGCCTCCGCGCCTAGAGCCCACGCTCCGCAACAAGAGAAGGCACTGCAGTGAGAAGCCCACGCAGCGCAACGCAGAGTAGCAACGAAGACCCAACGCAGCCAAAAATAATAAGTAAATTTATTTAAAAAAAAGAAAGACGAGGAAGCTCGTGAGGAGCACATGAGGAAGCTCTGTGCCTTGCTATGTAGTAACCTCCAGAAGATACTGCTGAGTGAAAAAGGCAAGGGAGGGAACAGGATGCATGGAAAGCAACCTTCTGTAGGAAAAAAGTGGGTAGGAAAAACATACATTCCACCACCTGGTTGTGCAATACTAAATCCCTGAAATACACCTAAAGACTGGTGGCAGTGGCGTGACCTAGGTAGACTGGAGACAAACCAGATGGAAACTTTTCATTGGACTGTTATTACTGTTTTGGAAATCATGTGAATATATTACCAATTCAGAGAAAATAAGTTAAAAAAAGGAAGTAGCATACCAATATGGGAACATTTCCAAGGTATATTGTTAAGTGAAAAAACCAAGGTCTAAAACGGCGTGGCATGCCATTAGTAGTGACTTAAAAATAAATGAAAAGCACCCTCCTGTATCTACATGTATGATGTTCTGTGCAAGTAATCCTCCTGGAGGAGACCGGAGAAATTAGCCATGATGGGTCCCCGGGGAGGGCAACTGGTGCATGGAGAGGGAAGACTTGCTCTTCATTGGGTGCCTTTTGTATTTTTCAAATTTTGCATCCATCGCTCACTCAAGAAAGTAACATAATTAAGTAAATAAAGTGGTTAAGAATACCCTAGCTAACTTGCAGTGATGTCCTCAGACCACTGATTTGTGTGAAAAAACAAGATGCAACAGAGCACACGAATGATTCTACCTTAAAAACAATATTATGACAGATCAATTATGCCTCAATAAAGCTGTTAACTACCACCACAAGGGAGTCTCTGGGTGAATCAAACATGGCAGGACACATACTAGGGTGGTAGGCTGGGTAGGGAGAGGGATGAGAGGATGATATGGGGGCACAGGAGGAAGCTAGGGGAAAAGGAAAGAGTCAACTCCACCACCTTGAGCACTTAACATATAGGCACTCACCAGGCCCCTTTAAGCACTTTCTAAGCATTAACCCATCAATCCTCCCTGCATCTCACCCCCAGGAGGTAAACACTGACTGGTTTACTAGTTCTCTCCAGCTTCTAGAGCAGGAAACTGAGCATAGTGGGATGAAGTGACTCACCCAAGGTCACAGAGTCTGGAAGTGGCAGAGCCTGTGTTCGAATCCAGACCTATCTGCCTCCTGTACCTGGCACTTCCTGTTGTTCTCATTCTCATTTTATTCAAGGGGAAACTAAGGCTGAGTGAAAGACTTGTTCATGGTCACATAAAAGCTAGTGGCAAAAGCATTCCAGGAGTAAGTTTCATCACACCACTGTGAGGAAAGCACTTCCCAAATGCTAACTAAAAGCTGCAGGTCATATGTTTACTGAGCATTTATTATGTGTTAGGTACTGAGCCAAGTGCTCTTCATACATAATATCATTTAAGCCTCACAACTGTTCTGAGGGGCATTATTATGATGCATATTTCACAGATAAGGAAACTGAGGCCCAGAGAGGAAAAATCATTTGCTGCTCCCTATGGCTGAAACACTCAGACCCTAGCTTGCACCTTCATTTTATTCATACCTGTCCACCGTTGCGTCTTCCTTTGAGGCCTCCCATGTTATCTACCTAAGACAGCACCTCCTTCCCAGTACTTCAAACTCTTACCTGTCTTTACTTTTCTGCATAGAATTTATCATCACTTGTCTTTATGACATTATTTACATGTTTGCTGTCGGCTTCCCTGCCTACAGCATAAGCTCCCTGAGTATAGGAACCATGTTTGTTTCCATCATTGCTGTATCTCTGGAGCCTAAAACAGTACCTGACCCAGGTGGACGCTCTCATTATGCAATAACTGCAAAAAAACTGATTAAGAGCTCTGGGTGCCAAATGCTCGACTTCTAATGACTTACTACGCTTCACATATATTAAGTGATTGAATCTTTGCAACCACCATGATTACTGCCACTGTACGGACAAGATAAAGTCACTTGCCAAAGGTCACATGGCTGTTAAGAGGCAGAGCTGGGACATGAATCCAGGAAGACTGGCTCCCAAGTACATGACCATAACCACTGTGCTTCACAGCTGGAGGGACAATGATAGACCACCACATCTTGAGGTCCTGAGATGCTTCTGCCCTGGGCTTCGGACTGGAGCTGGGACTGCTTCTCCAGGCCTGGAAAGAACACCTCCCCAGACCCAGGCGTTTACCTGTCAAAGGCCTTCACACGGCCCAGGAGCTTCTTGTTGTTGCGGCAGTTGATGAGCACTTGCGTGTTGTTCTTGACCGACTGGGTGAGCACGGAGAGTGGCCCTGTGTTAAACTCCTCCTCCTCCCGCTTCTGCAGCTCCTCCGGGGTCATCTCACTCTTGGGCTTGTTGAGGAGGCTCCTAAGTGGGCAAGTATGGAACCCATAGGTGAGAGGGCCCAGAGCCGGAGCCTGGGTGCTCATGGCCTCTGGCTCGGTGTCTCCCTCACACACCCACCCTCCTGCTCGGTCCTCTCTCGGCATCACCACTTGGATACTTAACAGACATTTCCACCCTTCAAGTCCTAGGCTGAACTCCAGATCCCCCAATACCCCCAACTTATACTATACTATCCACAGCCTTCCTCATCTCCATCAATGGCAACTCCATCCTTCTAGTTGTTTAAGCAAAAACTCTTAATGTCAACTTGACTCTTCTTTCCTTCTCCCACATCCTATATTCAATCTGTCAGCAAATCCTGTCATCTGCCGCTAAAATATATCGGAATCTGTCCATTTCTTACCATGGCTTAAACCTCCATCATCTCTCTCCTACTGGTCTCGCTGCCTCCATCCACACTCCCCAACAGTTTGCTCTCCACAAAGCAGTCTCGGGGATGGTGCCAAGACTCAAGTCATATATCATCTCACTCTTCAAAACCCCCTCATGGGCTTCCCTGGTGGCACAGTGGTTAAGAATCGCCTGCCAATGCAGGGGACACGGGTTCGAGCCCTGGTCTGGGAAGATCCCACATGCAGTGAAACTAAGCCCGTGCGCCACAACTACTGAGCCTGCGCTCTAGAGCCCGCGAGCCGCAACTATTGAGCACGTGCTCTAGAGCCAGCGAGCCACAACTACTGAATCCCGCACGCCTAGAGCCCGTGCTCCGCAACAAGAGAAGCCACCGCAATGAGAAGCCCGCGCACCGCAACGAAGAGCCCTCGCTCGCCACAACTAGAGAAAAGCCCGCGCGCAGCAACGAAGACCCAACGCAGCCAAAAATAAATAAATAAAAATAGATACATTTATATTAAAAAATAGATATTAGGCAAACTTTCTTCTAGAGTCCCTGCATTTGCTTTTCCCTCTGCCTGGATACCTCCCCAGATATCTCTGTAGTACACTCTCTCACTTTCTTCAGGTTTTTGCTCAAGTGTTGCCTCCTTTATGTGTCCTGTCTCTCAAAAGTAGCGTTCCACATTGTTTCACCCTGCTCTACTGTTTCTTTATTCATAGTCCCGGTCACCTAACACACCACATACTTTACCTGTTTATTACCATTACGTTTACTGCCTGCCTCTTCCCATCCCATAAGATGCAGAAGGGGATTTTCTTCCTTGGGGGAGTGGGGTAATTTACTGATAGAGCCTATGTGTCTAAAGCAGCCTGATATAGGAGCACTCAATAAATAATTGTTGAATGAATACGTAAGGAAAATCATTCCCGTAACTCGTTATCCGTAAAAATCGAGAATGTAGTTGGAAAGCCAACCGTCTCCAGCTCAAATTATCCGTATAAACCCCTTATCTAAGATCGTTTTTCCTACAAGTCCGTACTCCCCTCTTCCAGGTTCTTTATTCGTAAAAGCGCTTCCCCTTAAAATTCATTTCAGTAAGATTCATTATTTGGGAAAGCCCAGCCCGTTATCAGATAAAGCTTTCCCTCCTCCCGAAGTCAGAATCCGTCAAAGGCCCCACGTCCGTTCTCAAACGCATCAGTAGAAAAGTACGCCACTTTACCCCTAAAATGTTTGCCTCCGCCCCCGGCTCTGCCCATCCCCTTCCACCGGTAAGTGGCCAAATATACACCCTCAACCCCACTCCCGCCACCTAAGCCTAACCCGGCCTCACATGTTGGCGATGGTGGTGGCCGCACTCTCAAGTCACTACCGTCTCCGCGTTGCCTCAGCCTTCCACAGAGAGCGCAAAAGAGGCGGGACTTCCGCTTCCTGCGGCCAACTTCCGTGGGCGCCTGCGCAAACCCAACCAGCGGGTGGGGGCGTGGCCAGTTGCCATAGCGATTTCCACCAGCCCTTCGCGGCTTTGGGATAAAAGCTTCACATGGTGATTCCCGGCCATTCAGGACAGTACGGGGCGGATATTCACGATAGTGGAGAGGAAAAGAAAGCGGGACTGATTCAAACCATTTTGTTGTAGAGCCGCACAGGTTGATGGAAGGAAAGGACAAGCTATTTCCACATGCCCGCCCACCCTGCCTTTGGGGGAGCGGCCTCCGCGAAGCCAATCCGCTCCTCGCTTCCGGGATGGACACCTCCCCTTTTCCTTCGGAGACCGTTCATTTAAGTGTCTATTGATCTTTTGACTAGGGGTAACCAATCCTTTGCCTACATCCGGGAGGGGCGTGGACCTGCGCCCGGCAGGTCGAATGTTTTCCATGATCAAACGATTCTCATTGGCTTCCCCTCCTCCGCTGAGGCGGTGCCTACCTCTTTCGCGCTCCCTTTTGGGTTGTGCAACCCTCAGGGGAACCAACCCCCAAAGCTCCGGGGAGACAGGGAGGCGTGTCCTCAGAACGAAAGTCCCATTGGCTTTACTGTCCGCGGAAGTGTGGGATGGTGCAGCCGCTCTTGTTGCTCATTGGTCCCGTGATTCCACGGGGTGGGACTTGGCTGGGCCTAAACTCTATCCGCTGTCCCAGACCGGTTTTCAGGGCAAAGCTGCCATGCGTTCCGGGGGCCGCGGGCGGCCCCGGCTACGGCTCGGGGAACGCGGCCTTTTGGAGCCACCCTCACCGCCCAAGCGCCGCCTGCTACCTCGGGCGCAGCTGTTGCCTCTGCTGCTGCTGGCGCTGGCGGTGGCCTCGGTGTTATACACCAGTTGGAGCGGCTGGCACCGCCAGTCTGAGGAGCTGCCGCTAGGCCGGGAGCTGCGGGTGAGGCTGGGAGGGGACGCGGGCACTGCGGGGGCCCTTATTCCCCGCCTCCCCTTCTCCGAGGTTTCAGGTTGACGTGACTTTATCTTTATCGGATTGCCCTAGCCGCAGGTGCCGCCGTCTCCGTCTTTAGAGCACATGCCTCTTTCCAACGGAATGAGGCTTCGGGCTTGTTCTGTAATAGCGGTTACCCCGTAAGAGGAAGGGTCTGGAGGAGTAACACTAGGAGTTCTGGGTTCTAATCCTAAAGTCATTTATTTGGAAGAGTCCCTTACTCTCGCTGGGCCTCGATTTCCCCCATCAAGATGGGGGTGGGCTGGGCCGGATGGGCTTGGGGGTACTTTCCCGAGTCTAGGATTTATCCTAGAAACCTCCGATGCTGGAGGCTGCGATTAGGAAGAGGAACTGGGGCTTCTTAGGGACGACAGCTCCCAGGGTAGGGTTGGAATGAGTGTTGCTTTCACGCTCTGCTCTTCTCTTCCCCACCTCCCTCCCAAGGGCCCGTCGATCGGAAGTCTCCCCGAAGCCGGGGTGCGGCGGGTGGTGGGGCAACTGGACCCTCACCGTCTCTGGAACAATTATCTGCGCCCCCTGCTGGTTGTGCGGACCCCCGGCAGCCCCGGCAATCTCCAAGTCAGAAAGGTAAGGGGCCCCACCTCCAACCCCTGACCCCGCAGCCCACCAAGGAAATAGGTATTCTGCCCAAGTGGCAGAGCTAGGGCTCTGGCTGGGCGTAATCTGACTCTAGAGTCCTGTCCTGCTAACCACCAGACCATTGCCCTCTTTACTGCCCCCACCAAAATCTTACTAGAGGCTAAGCATCAGCAACAGCCGGATAAGGTGGGCACCAATCTGATCTTCATTGTGTAGATGGGGAAGCTGAGGCGCAGAATAGGTAGGCATTTTGCCCAAATCCCACAGCTAATGAATGATATACCTAGGGTTTCAACCCAAATGGGTTGGCTCCAGAGCCGGTGTGGTAACATCTCTACATTGCCTCTCAGAAAGTATGGAGAGTCATTTGAACACTGCCTGAGTTCAAATCCACATCAGCCACTTGGAGTGTGACCTTAAACTAGTTTCTTAACTTCTCTGTGCCTCAGTTGCCTCATCTGCAGGATGGAACCATTGACAGTCCCCACTCCACAGGGCTCCTAGAACAAGGGCTTGGCACAGAGTGACTGCTATGGAAGGGTGAGCTGTGATTAGTCTTGGCATCAAGAGACAGGGTCACTCCACGCCTGGCACTTAGTAGGTACTCAGCAGAAGTGTATCAAGGGAACGATTAAACTAAAGTGAGATTTGTGAGTCAACCTGACTGCTCGGCATGGTTCAGGTCACATGGCCGTTCTTCCGACCTTCTCCCCAGTCCCCACCCACTCTCCCACCTCTCTCTTGCCACTAGTTCCTGGAGGCCACACTGCGGACCCTGACAGCAGGCTGGCATGTAGAACTGGACCCCTTCACAGCCTCGACACCCCTGGGGCCACTGCACTTCAGCAACGTGGTGGCCACGCTGGACCCAAGGGCTGCCCGTCACCTCACCCTTGCCTGCCATTACGACTCGAAGCTCTTCCCATCTGGGTCAGCCCCCTTTGTGGGGGCCACGGATTCGGCTGTGCCTTGCGCCCTCCTACTGGAGCTGGCCCAGGCCCTGGACCTGGAGCTGGCTAGAGCCAAGGAGCAGGTGAGGAGCCGGGGTAGGGTGGGGGTGGGTGGGTGGGGACTGCCTCTGCCTTGGTCCATACCAACACCATCCCGTGCTTGGTCTTGTCTTCCTCCGCTCCACAACACAGCCACAGGGTCTTTCCATTTCCTGAACGTCAGATCCTGTCCCTTCTCTCCCACAGCTCTCACCTTGTTCCACAAGTAAGCCAGAGCCCTTCTCTTAGCCGAGGTGTGCCCTCTCACCTCTCTGGTCTCCCCTCCCACCTCTCACCCCTCACTCACTCCACTCTAGCCTCCCACCTCCTCTGTGTACCTCAAGCCACACAATTCACTCCCACCCCAGGCATTTGCACTTGCTCTTTGCTCTGCCTAGAATGTGATTTTCTCGGATATATTCCTGGCTGGCTGCCACCCTTCATTCAGATGTCCACTTTGATGTCACCTCCTCAAAGAGACCTTCCCAGCCACCCTAAAATAGCTCCCTGTCACTCTCCCATGCCTCATGGTGCTTTATGTTGATTTGTTTATGTTTCCCCAACTAGAATAAGCTCCAGATAGCCAGGCCCTTGGCTGTGTTTATTTCCTGCTGTATCCTCTGGGCTGAGAATATTGCCTGGCATAAAGTAGGATGTCAATAAAAATGTATGGAGGGACTTCCCTGGTGGTCCAGTGGTTAGGACTCTGCGCTTCCAATGCAGGGGCATGGGTTCGATCCCTGGTCGGGGAACTCAGAGTCCACATGCTAAAACAACAACAACAAAAAGATAAAAACATCAACCCTGTGGGAAAAAAATTTTCTTTTAAATGTATGGAATGAATGAACGGAAACACAGATCTCCTCACGCTCCTCCCCTGCTCAGATCCCTTCCATGGCTCAAACCCCAGTGCCCCTGTAACAAAGCCCAAGCTCCCTGGACCTTGCTGACCCCTTGGGTCTCTACTCAAACCTTTTTGGCACCTTCTTTGGCCCCAGGTCTGATTCATGTTGCTTCCTCACCGGGGAACACTCTTCCCTCTGCTCCATTTTACCAGGCCAGCTCCTACTCAGCCTCAGTGCAAACATCCCTTTCCGACAGACCTGACATGTTCCCTAGGCCAGATCAGGACGCTGTTGTTCTTGGAAGCATTTGCCCGACTGCATTTCATCGTTTGTATAATTATTTATTTGTGGGTCTGTCTCTTTTGCTACATGAACTTGAGGAATAACAATTACAATCAGAGCTAATCCTTGTTTAGTTACTATGTGCCAGGCGCTGTCCTAGGACCTGGGTTCGAATCCTACCCTATGATGAGGACTGGTATTAACCCCATTTCTACATAAGGAAGCCGGTGCTTTGAGAACTTAGTAACTTACCCACGACTGCTTGGCTACTGAGCAGCCCAGCCAGGATTTGAACGCAGGCAGTCTGGCTCCAAGTCTGTACTCTTGGCCACCGTGCTCTTCGAGCGAGGAGACTTAGTTTGCCCTCGTCAGCTGTGCAAGCAGGCAGGAAATGTGTGTGCACTGAGGCTGAGGGCTGGCACTGCGCTGGCCCTGACCACTGGCCCTCACAGGCAGCCCCAGTGACCTTGCAGCTGCTCTTCTTGGACGGTGAAGAGGCACTGAAGGAGTGGGGACCCAAGGACTCGCTTTACGGCTCCCGGCACCTGGCCCAGCTCATGGAGTCTGCACCCCACGGCCCCAGCTTCACCAGGATCCAGGCTATTGTAAGACCAGGCCCCACTGGGTTCCGGTGAGGTGGGAAGCGGGTGACACGAGGCTGGCAGCATCCCGCCTGGCCTCTCCAGTCCTGGCCTCTCTCCCTAGGATCTCTTTATGCTTCTTGATCTCCTGGGAGCCCCCAACCCGACCTTCTACAGTCACTTTCCTCGCACGGCCCGCTGGTTCCATCGGCTGAGGAGCATCGGTAAGGAGGCAGGCACCCACCTGGGATGCTGGAGGGAGGCCAGGCACCTGTCCTCTAAGGGGTCATCCAGCCTTCCCTCTACCTCCCTAGTCTCTCTCTAAAGCACTAGGACAGAAACACAAAAAGACCCCACAGCAGTCAAATGAAGTGATTACAAACGGGGGCTCTGGGGTCAGATAGCCCTGGGTTCAAATTCTGGCTCTCTTTCTTACCAGCTGTGTGAGCTTGGGCAAGTGGCTTCCTCTCTCTGAGCCTCAATTTCCTATCTGTAAAATGGGCATGATGGTAATAATAGGGGTATCTACCTCTTTAGACTCAGAGGGATTGAGACTGGGAACATCGTCGGCCTGCGGTAAGGGGTAACTAACATTCATCCTTGTTGGGACGATCAGAGCTTCGCCCCCAGACCCCCTGCCCTCCTCTGATTTGTGAGCAGGGGAACCTTTGACCGCTGAGGGGCTGACCCTTGCTCTCTAATCCCCACCGCCTCCAGAGAAGCGCCTGCACCGTCTGAACCTACTGCAGTCTCATCCTTGGGAAGTGATGTACTTTCAGCCCGGGGAGCCCCCTGGCTCTGTGGAAGACGACCACATCCCCTTCCTCCGCCGAGGTACTTGCTGTGGGGAGGAGTGGTGGGCAGGGGTCCCAGGGAGCCACAGATACGACCTGGCCCTGGCCCTTTCCCAGATTAGGGAAGGTGGCAAACTGCTTAACCTCTTTGTGCCTTGATTTCCTCATCTGTAAGGATGGGGATGATAACAGCCCCCATCTCAGAGTTGTTGAGGGGATTGAATGGAAAGACCTTGGACCAGTGCCTGGCACTAGCGAGTGTTCAAGAAATGTTAGCTATTACTGGTTGTGCCTCAGTGATTGCAGTTTCTTCTAGATCTTGCCTCTCAAGCCCTTGGCCACCCAGCATAATCACCTGAGCTTCGAAAAATGCCCAGTCACATTTCAGGCCTACTGAACCACAATCTGGGGCCTCTACATTATTTTTACAAAACTCCCAGGTGATTCTGATGCACAGCCAGGGTTGACGACATCTGGTAGAGGGGTTCAAAACATAGGTTTTAGAATTGGATAGGTCTGGGTTCTACGATCTGCAACTTACCATTGGTTGACCTAAGGCAAATTACTGAGCCTCTCTGTGGCCCCATTTCTTCTGGAAAAGGAAGAGATAGATACATACAAACACATACGTATGTATGTATTCTTTTTTTTCTTCATATGGCAGTTTTATTTTTAATTTTTTGAGGAACCTTCATACTGTTTTCCATAGTGGCTACACCAAATTTATGTTATGTATTCTTAATCACAGGGTTGGGAGGATTAGATGAGATTAGATATATAAAATGCCTTCTTACACGGTGCTTGGCATATACAGTAAGTGCTAAAAACTGCTTTTTAAATTTTTATTCTATAATTTACTCATTCAACAAATATGCATTTCTTACAATGCCTTTATTGATTCATTCACTGAATACTTCCCAAGGCAGGTGCTGAGCCAGCTGTCAGGGATACAGTGACGGGCCATAATCCACCTGGCTCCTGTCTAGCGGGGGGACAGATATTTACCAAATCTGGACAAACAAAGAGTGAAACACTCTGAGGACAGGAACCCAATGCAGTGCAAGGGTTAGGAGCACACACTCTGGAGACATGTGGCCTGGGTTCAAATTCTGACTGTGCTCTTTACTAGAGGTGAGACCTTAGGCAAGTCACTCTGCCTGCCTCTGTGTCTCAGTGTCCACATCTGTAGAACAGGGGTATTATAGTACACCTTACATGATTATTGTAAGGATAAAATTGTGTGTGTTTATGGCCTTAGACTCGGGCCTGGAATAGAACATAAATGTTAACTATCAGTAAAGAAGAGAAAAAGAGCCTAATAATGTACACCCGGCGAGGAAGGTCAAAGACCTCCTTCCCTTCTTCTGTCTTTCCATAATCCGTTAAGTTTTGAGTTTTTCTAATTTGCGTTATGAAAATAATATACTGGATGTATTTTTAAAACGGACATGTACCCTCACACACTGAAAATCATTGTTCAGAATTCTTCAAGTGCTACAACAGAGTGTCTTCTGCTGTGGGGGACAAGGCAAGGTTCCCCAGACGTGGGCCTGGGCTCCTGGGTCAGTTGGGGGCCACGCACAAGCCTGAGCCTCCTCTCTGTCCTGCAGGGGTCCCCGTGCTCCACCTCATCTCCACACCCTTCCCCTCTGTCTGGCACACGTCCGATGACTCTGAGGCCAACCTGCACCCACCCACGGTACACAACCTGAGCCGCATCCTGGCCGTGTTCCTGGCTGAATACCTGGGGCTATAGCCTGCCTGGCGGACTCTGAGGGAGAAGCACCCAGCAGCAGATGTGATGAGGGCACCTGGAGCCGAGGAGCTCGGGCCAGGCCTGCTTGCGGTGTGCTGGCTTGTCCTTTTTTAACACCTTTGGCTCTGCTTGTGCTCTGACTGGAAGACCCTCTTTCTTTATCTCAAGCTGCCACTCTTCAAAGACATGGAAGAGACAGACCACTGTGGTGTGAGAGCCAAAGGAATAAGAGCTTGGCCGCTGCCCTGAGGGAAACACTTGGGCTGCAGGTCTGCAGGGGCCAAATGCCATTCTCCACTTCAGTCAGCAAATGGCATCTGGACCAGCAATACCCCTGACCAAATGAATTCTCTGTGGCTTATGTTTTTGTGGCAGTTCCTTCTCCAGAATGGCAGCCTTGCTACCGCATCAGTCCAAACCCAACTCCCACATGGATGTGCCATGGGGAGCCCGCAGAAGATGTGCTCGTAAGCAGGGAACAGAGGAGATGGAAGCCAGCACTTGGGAACTCCAGATTCTGCCAGATCCAATGGCCAATAAACCAGTGTTTCTGCAAAATATATCCTGTAGAACTAGCATACATAGGTGTTGCACGAAAAGGGGGACCAAAGTGGGGTGAGACAACATTAAATGAGTTTCTTCATTTGCACAATGTGAATTTTCAAGAAAGAGAATGCAATGTTTCCCCAAAGTATTTCCCCACGGAACCCCTTTGTTGGGAAGCACCTCACAGAGCCGTGGTACCTCAGAAGATACTTTGGGAAACGCTGGGTTTTGGCAGTTTGAGTGTACTTACGGTAGAAATGGGCCAGCTAGTTACACCAAACCATCCTTTCCCTTCTGGCTGTGGGCACAGGAGCGGGAGATGGTGTGTGTAACTGCAAACTCCCAGCCCTAATTTTCAGACCCAACTGGGGTGCTTATTTAAAAATGCGGGGAATTCCCTGGCGGTCCAGTGGTTAGGCCTCGGCACTCTCACTGCTGGGGCCCGGGTTCAACCCCTGGTCAGGGAACTAAGATCCTGCAAGCTGCGCAGTGAGGCAAATAAATAGATAGATAAATAAATAAAATGCAGACTCCCAGGTCCCACCTACTGAATCAGAACTTCAGAGAGGGGCTGGGACTCTGTAACAAGCACCTGAGGAAGTCTCATGATCAGCAAAACTTTGGGACATGCTGTCCTTAAGGATTCAAGTTTGGTTCATTCACAGCTCCCTAGCAAACCTAAAGGGCACCCAGACAGGAAGTCCCATGTTGGGCTCTGTACCTGCTGATTTCGTGACTTTGATGGATACCTGGTAGGCCACAGGGATGCCAGGCCAGGATGCAGGGTTAGAGAGTGAAGGTGAACAGCAGCCTCGCGAGCCAACTCAAGGCTGGCGAAGACTCGAGAGAACTCACGGGCTGAAGGACAACTGCGGTTCTCATTTTGCAAATGAGGTGGCCAGGGCTGAGAATTACAAACCAGTTATTAACAGAGCCCAGATTCTCACCCACAGCTGTGCTCCTATCCCCATGTCCTACCTCCCTTCCAAAAATCACCTGTGCTGGACCAACAGATTGTTGGTCAAGAGTAGCTCCTCCTGAGGCTTTTAACTGGCTGCAAGTCTGAGTGAGGTTTGGGCGGTGGGGACTAACAGCCTCTTAGAGGTGGAATTGGCAGAAGTTGAGTTCAGAAAGGAAATTGACAGATATCAACAGCCAGGGTGGCAGGAGGGTCTCAAATCACAAAGTTAGTTCCTGTTTGTTCATTTCTTGTGTGGCAGGCATGGTGCCAAGCGCTCAAAAGTGCAGCACGTCCCCTTAGCCTCACAGCCATCCCAGAAGCAGCTGAAACCATCACCTCTGTTAGGGGAAGCAGTGTGTTCAGTGACGTCCTTGGCCCCTTGCCTCCCTGCAGGTCATCGTGCTGAGTGTACTACACGCCAGGTTCTGGGCAAGGCGCCTGGGCACGTTTTCCACTTGAATCCAGGGTAAGCTCCCATCTGTCCCCCAAACTTAGGCTCCCCCAGCTTCACACTATGAAGAGGCCATGAGGTGTCTTTGGTGAGCACAACTGTTGAACATTCTAGATGCAACAGCTCACATGTCAGTCTTTTGAGGAACTGTCAGTATTCTCATTTTTCAGATTAAGAAACTGAGCTTCAGAGAAATCAATTGCTGAAGATCACAGCTGGACACTTTCACTGCATGTGTCTAGGTATTCATTTCTTTTTATTTATCCTGCCTATGACTCACTGGGCATACCGGTCTTTTTACACCAGTCTGGAATTTGCAATCATCGTGTCCTTAAATATTATCATTGCACCATTCTCTCTTCTGATTCTAGAACGCCAGTTAAATGCGTTAGACTTCCTCACTCTATCCTCCATAACCTTGCTTCCTATTTTCTTTCTTTTTTTGGTCTCTGTGCTACTTCAGACCTAGCTTTAGTTCAATAAATCTTTTTAAAGATTTATTTATTTGATTTATTTTATTTTTGGCTGCGTTGGGTCTTCGTTACTGCGTGCGGGCTTTCTCTAGTTGCAGCAAGCGAGGGCTACTGTTCGTTGCGGTGCGCGGGCTGCTCATTGCAGTGGCTTCTCTCGTCGCAGAGCACGGGCTCTAGGCGCGCAGGCTTCAGTAGTTGTGGCACGCGGGCTCTAGAGCGCAGGCTCAGTAGCTGGCACAGGCTTAGTTGCTCCATGGCATGTGGGATCTTCCCAGATCAGGGCTTGAACCCATGTCCCCTGCGTTGGCAGGCAAAGGATTCTTAACCACCGCACCACCAGGAAAGTCCCTCCCTCAGCACCTAAAACATCTTCTCTGCAGTGTTCTGGGTCAGCCTTACCTGAGCTTGTAGTTCGGTGGGATCCCACCTCCTATTAGATTCACCTTGGACAGGCTTTGACCTTGACTTCTGCCTGCTTGTCCCAGTAAGGCTACAAATAGGAAATCCAAGTTTGTTCACATCAGCAAATACCCTCAGAGCAAAAGTGGCTTCAGGGCCCCATGGGCCTTTCCCTTAAATTTTTGGCTTAGTATATCCTTAACTGTATTTTATTGAATATTTGATGCTTTTCAGATTTTTTTTACTTCTGGTTTCAGCAGGAGAGTCCAAATAATCTGGCCTTCCTGCTATAGGAAACCAAAAATCCCACAAAACCAAGCCAAGATTCAAACCCAGGTTTCTTTGATTCTAAAATCTAAGTATTAAATAACTGCTATGATATAGCCTAGTCTCTGGAAATTTTGATTCCTTGATAAGAATGTCAGAGACTGTTAGCCACCGCTCAATATCCATTTTTCCTTCTTCTTTTAGTAAATAATTATCTGAATATTTTAAAGCTTTAATTACAGGGTTCTTTAGCAAGAGTTTTTTGTTGGGCATAATGCATCCAACTAAAGGATTGCATTTCCCAGTCTCCTCTGCAGCCCTTCCACGTGGCTAAAGTTCTGACCAGTAAGATGCGCACAGAAGTACACTGTGGTACTTCTGGGAGGCAAGGGACTTCCTTTCCTGCAAAATGGTGATGGGTGGAGTTCCAGCAGCCATCTTGGACCATGAGGATGAGGGCCGCAGCCAAAGAATAATGGAATAGTGGGCTAGAAGGAGCCTGGGTTCCAGATGAATTCAGGTCCACCATACCTGCCAAACGCTGGGTTTCTAAAGAAATAAAAACTACCTTGTTTGAGCGTCTACTATTTTGAGGTTTTCGAATCCAAAAGGACACAGATGAAGAGTCAAAAATAATCTCAGGCTAAGGGACTCGGCTAAGCATTCTTCTCTCAACTTTTTCCATTTCACCATGCACTGGCCCATGACTCCCTTCTCTCCCAGACCCCTTCCCTGAACAACACACAAACCAGTCTGGGCCCAGCCTTATAAATACTGATTTTATAGAAAGGACCAGTTCAAAATCGGTCAGATGCCACACATTAGAAGCTTTCCAGAACCACAAGGATGAAAAACCAAAACCAAGACAAAACAACAAAAAAACAACAAAAACACATCTCAAACAGAACAAACAAAAATACCCCAGATCAAACTGCCTGAAGGTCAAGGTCTTGGTTGACCAAAGGCTTCTAAAGAAACACATGTGGATGGGGGGTGGAGAGACCCCAACACCTGAACAAGTACCCAGAGTAGAAGGAAAAACAACCCAGAAATTCAAAGCCACAGTCCCTGCCCACCGGCCCCCGACGCTGTCCAGAGCGAGGCAAAGGGCTTCACAGCTTTTTTGCAGCGGGGAGGGGGGAGAGTCATGGCAATAGCTTAAATATTGGGAGGAGGAGAATTTTTACACTTCAACTTTTTTCTCCTCTTCCCCTTTAGGGGAAGTAGAGAGACTGGTAGCTTGAGGTTAAGGAGAAAACTGATTTTTATTGTTTTAATGGGGAAATGGCAGGTGGCCATGAAAACTGCCAAATGTGATCTTTGATCTAATGGCCCCAGTTCCTAAAGAGGAGGTGAGCCCTGGTGTAGTAGGTTAGGAAGGGTACCAACCCTGGGTGCTGCAGCCTCCTGGGGAAAAAAAAACAGCTCCAGAGGGAAAGAACCGAGGGGAGGGAACGGAAGGGGGCCAGAATGGGGGAACCCTTAAGTAGTACCAAAATTAGCTGCCGTCTGCTCCCTGCTTGTAGGTCCCTGGGGTATGAAGAGTGGCAGGGAGGGCGCTGGGGCTGAATGTAGAAGAAATTGAGATGCTGATAAAAAAACACCCTGCTTGAGGGTCTGAAGAGTAGAAAACCAGTAGGGGTCAATCAGAGTGCTTTCTTGGGTCATCCCCCTGAACACCATCGCAGTTCTGGAGGGGGATCAATGCTGCCTGGGCTGAGGGTATGGGCTGGTGACCCAGTCCTGACCCTCGGCTCCCAGGCGGAGGGGGTGGGGGTGGGCATGGTGGGCTCTTCCCCCCCCCTCCCCCGGCTTCACCTCCCCTCCTCCCGGCCAGCCCGGCCGCCCCCACCGCCTGGCCCATTGCAGGGCAACACCCAGTTGTTATCGTGCAGACCCAGGCGGCAGCCGGGCGTCTCGCGATCGGCTCGGCGGCAGCACATCCAGTAGGAACGTCCATAAGGCAGGTCGTGGTGGTAGGGCTTGGGGTGCCAGCGGCAGAGCGACACATCGCCCTTCTCGTATCTCTTGCGGCACTGCTTGCAAGGGTCATCGCGGTAGAGCGGGTCGCGGCTCCAGCGCGAGTCTGTGGCCCGCACGCCAAAAGCCTCAATGATGCCCTTGAAGTGGTGGCAGGTGCACTTGAGGGCCGCCAGGGCGCGCGTGGGCAGGAAGCTGAAGATCTTGACCAGCACGTGCTCAGGCAGCAGCAGCATGTACTGTCGCGGCTCCAGCAACCGCTGGATCTTGAAGCGGATTTCCAGGAAGTCGTGCGACACGTGCCGGTACAGGCGGCACAGGGAGGTGTCCACCGTCCCCTCAGCATCGTCCGGGCCGGGTGCAGTGGCGGGCGAGTCAGTTGGCGGTGGCTCGGGGGGCCCATCAGGTCCCCGGGGCTGGAGGAAGAAGAGCTGGCCAGGCGGGGGTGGCTCCTCGGGGCTGACGGTCAGGCACACCGTCTCCTCCTTCACGTTTTTGGTGCCATCCTTGCCGAAGAAGATGCACTCATCCACCACCCCCGTCACCACCACATCCACATGGAAGCCTGATGCGCCACAGTCCCGGGCAGGGGGTGGAGGGGGGGCCGGGGGAGTGTCCTCGGGCCTGGCAGGGGCTGGGGTCTCACCCTCGCTGGCTTCATCCGCCCTAGCCAGCAGAAACTCCACATTGCTGGGGAGGGCATCCCGAGAGGGGCTGATGAGCTGGTACAGGTCGCAGGTGATCTTGTCCTTGGCCCGGGCCCCAGGACCCGGGCTGCCAGGGTAGGCGCAACCCGGCCGGCCCCCGCTCCCGTTGGGCAAGCTGCCATCCGGTGCACGGGGCTCTCGGCCATTGGAGATCCGGAAGGCGATGCGCACCTCCCCAGGGCCTGGCCCGGGCCGCTCCTCCTTGCGGAGGCCTTTGGCTGGAGGGTTGTCCCGCTGAGCCTCGAAGTGGGCCACGGCCTCCGCCACACGGCTGCAGTCCCCGCCACCAGACCGCCGTTCGGACCCCAGCCCCTTGGCAGGCCCACCCTGTTCGGCCGACACATAGACCACAGGCGCTGGGGTGCTCGGGCGCGGGTAGCTCTGCAGGGCCAGGGCGGCCCGCTGTTCCACCAGGGCCACCATCTCGGCCACAGAGAGCAGGTCCACATCCTCACTGGCTGAGGCTGGGACCCCCTCAGCAGCAGGGGGCCCGTCTTGTCCCCCTGGGTCCGGAGGAGCCTTCGTAGGCTCAAGACAGCGCCTCCTCCGCTTGGCCTTGGAGCTGTCACTGCCCCAGTGCCCCTTGACCTTCATGGAGCTGGCCCGGCTGCCTCCACCGCACTGGTGGGCCACAAAGAAGGCCACCTTCTCCTTTGTATTCCCGGGCTTGATAACGTACCACGTGTCCAGCAGGACTCGACCCTCGTCGCCGGCAGCGGCTGCTGAAAGGAGCGGGGCAGGCTGGGAGGCAGGAGCCTCCGTGGCCAAGGCTGGGGGTGTGTTTTCTGAGTGGGCAGGGCCATGGTCTGGCTCCGCCCCCCCACCTGGCTCAGGACAGGCTGACGGCTTGAGGGCTGCGGAAGGCGGGCGCGGCTGGTTCTGGGAGTAGGTGCCAAAGGGCCGGGGGCACCACAGCTGGAAGGGAAGGAGGCCCCCTCGGTCCATTCTGGGGAATGGTGGCAGACAGGCGGGGGTTCACCACATCTCAGGACCTGAATGGCGGTGGGGGGCTCCACAGGCCACCTGGAGACAGGGAAGAGGAGGCTGGGGAGCTGGGGAACGGCCTGCCCTCCCAGTACCCCACTGACCTCAACATCTCCTGACCTGAGGGGACAGACCAAACTAGACCACTGAGATCCTGTTCCCGCCCCCCTGGCACAGGTGAGCAAATGGAAGGCTGCAGACGGGATAGGACCTGCTCCTGTAAAACTCAGAGTGTGACCGGAGCTGGTAGTTTGCTCCAACCCTCCGCTGCCTCACAGCCTGACTGGTTTCACTCACGATCCAGAGGTCTCCTGCTGCCATAACTTTATAAACAGAAATGAAAGTACCAACTGACAGCTCCTCCTTTTTCTATTTGCTCACCTAGTAACAAGTTCCTGAAAACACAAGGATTCCCAGCCCTGCCCACAGCTACTGCGGCTTGAGCCCAGAGGAAGCAACAAGGTAGGCTGGGCAGGGGAAGAAAATCAGAGGTCGGAGACAGAGAGGTCCTTAAGAATTCAGCTCCTCACTTTGCTCGGGTCGTGAGGCTCTTGAAGGATCCCTTAAAGCTGTGTATCCTCACCCAGAAAAATGCACACACTTGCACCAAGACTGTGCAGGTAATTCCCTTAAGCACAAACGCAGACCCTTGGGATGAGAAGGCCCTTCTAGTCTAGTTTCCTCAAGTTGCTCACAACTTGCTGAGTTTGAGGCTCAGAGTGGGGAAGGCTTACATAGTGTTAACACCAGGCCCTCAAACTTGTTTTCCAGACTTTTCAATTTAGGGCTTGCAATAGTGACCGTTTTATTTTGCAATGACTTTGTGTGCTTGACCTAATCTGGAAGCAATTTTGCTAATGACTCTGACACGACCACGTTCCACTGCAGGACCAACAGTCTCAATCCCTCAGTCTCAATCCTTCCCTGGCCCATTTCCCTCCAGACGTCTTGAAACCAAAATACCCTTCAGGGCTTCCCTGGTGGCCCAGTGGTTAAGAATCCGCCTGCCAATGCAGGGGACACGGGTTCGATCCCTGGTCTGGGAAGATCCTACATGCCGTGGAGCAACTAAGCCCGTGCGCCACAACTACTGAGCCTGCGTGCCACAACTACTGACCCCGCGCGCCTAGAGCCTGTGCTCTGCAACAAGACAAGCCACCACAACGAGAAGCCCGCGCACTGCAATGAAGAGTAGCCCCCGCTCGCCGCAACTAGAGAAAGCCCACGTACAGCAATGAAGACCCAATGCAGCCAAAAATAAAAAATAAAAAAACAAAACAAACAAAAACAAAAACAACAAAATACCCTTCAAACATCAAAACTTCCACATGCTTACAGACTGGTAAAAGTAGTTTGCTGACTCCTGGTCAGACTATTTTGAGCCACAGGCCAAATGTGGCCCACTGCCTGCCTCTGCAAATAAAAGTTTTATTGAAACATGTTCATTTGTTTATGATTGCTTTCATGCTATCATGGCAGAGTTAAGTAGTGGCAACAGAGAACATATGGCCTGCAAAGCCTAAAATACTCATTATCTGGCCCTTTATGGAAAAAGTTTGCTGACCTCTGCAGTATATATGGTCCCTCTAAATTCAGGCAATACCACAGACACCACTAAATCACCATTTACTTCATAACCCTGTAGACACCATTCAAGATCTAGACAGCCTCCAAACATCCACAGACCCCAGAAACAGAAAGTCCTAATCCTAAAAATCCTTGCCCCCCATAATCCCCAATCCCACCTATCCCAATACTTACAGCCCCTGCCGAAATGCCAGTTTCTTGCTTAAAACAACAACAACAAAAATGCCACACAGCCCCTAAAACCTACAGAAGGCTAAGTTTACCAACCACCAACACATCTAAAGTGTCCAGGAATAGAAGCTACCACATCAAAGGCCATTCATTCTCTATAGATGCAAATGAATCCTGACGTAACATATCCAGACCCTCTCAAATCCTGCTTTAAACTTCCAAACCTAAAAATATCCCCTCCAGCACAGAAAGCCTCAATCTCAACGAATCCCTCACAGATTCCCATGCCTAACCAAGAACTCGAACACACACAGCAATTTCCCAACCTCACAGATGACCTAAAAGACCAGTTTCCTGAAATCTTATACTCACCTCAAACTCTTTCTAAACCTCCACATGTATTCCCTAATTCCACAGAAGCCCCCCAACCGCAAAACAACTCACTAAAGCATAAAATCTCCGTAACACATATAACTAATCCCAAACCAGATATTTCTCAGAAGCCAAAAGAACCTCCAAAATACTCCCAAAGAAACCTTACAAAATGTTAATAAGCAGACATGAGCATATGTCACGCTCGCTGGCAGTTTTACTGGGTACTGTTCTAACAGCTCCTGCTAATCCTCCCCCGTCCCTAGGAAGCAGGTAGTGTTATCAGTCCCTGTTTCCAGATGAGGCACAGAAAGGTTAAATCCCGTGTCCGGAGACAATCAGGTAGGAAGTCGGGAGAGCCCAAAGCCCACGCATTCTGGGTCCAGAATTGGTACTCTTGGACTCTTTTCTTCTCAGTCTCTCCGTGGCCCCCCAAATCCTATACCCACCAAACACCCCAATCCACACGGGAGATCCCCTACAACACAACCGAACCTTCCACACTACAACAGAACGGAAACCAGAATCCCAAGGTGCCCCCTAAACTCAAGGGAACCCCAAAGTATCCCCACACGCACGCAAGAATATCCCCAAGCCCCCAAATATAGCCTCCCCGGAATCCGCCAACCCCTGGGGCTACCCTCGAAACCGAGACCCGCCCCCAAAGCGCCCCCACCGGCGAGCCCCGCCCCCTACGGCGGGAGAAATTGGCTGCACACACGCGTGCGCACGAGTGGGAAGAGGGCCCGCCCCCTCGCTCCTTCCCTCCGGCTGTCGCGCGGGCGGGCACCCGACTAGTTTCCCTCCGCCTCTTTGTTGACAGACGCGCGCGTGAGGCCCCCAGCCAATGAGCGGCGGCCGTTCGGGGCCATGCCCATATAAGGAAGGCCTTGGCGAAGGGGCCCAACTTCGAAGAGGGAGGAGTAGGCGAGAGGTGACGAAGGGGGGTGTGGAAACAGCCGAGTGCAAGAGAGCGTGGAACAACTCCCAACTTCCTGCTAAACGGCGGGACAAGGCCAGGACCGAGGCCACGGCATTCGAGGAGAGGTTTATTACGACGTTTCCTCTAAACAGGAGCCTTGATTGACAGTTGAGATTTAAAGGCCCAAGCAGTTTAGGGATTGAGACTCCAGGGCGGAAGGAAGGGGGTCTAAAAGTGCCTAGCTTTGGTAGGGAGCCCTGGGGGGCTAGATTTCCTGCGGGGGAAACTGGGCAGCGGGATCACCTAACCCTGAAAAACAAATGGGCAGAACCCTGCGATGGCTCCCGCGGCACTGAGTCTAAGCCTCTGGGCCTGGCATTCAAGGCTCAGGCCTTGTGGCCAAAAGGACCTCTCCGCCCAGCCCTTCCAACCAGGCGCCGCAAATCTGACTCTGAGTTGGTACAATAAAAGACTATGAAATACCTCAATAATGTTTTTTTAATATTGATTACCTGTTAAAATGATACTATTTAGGATATAATTGAGTTAGAATACTTAAAATTAACTTCATCTCCTTCTTTTGACTTTTTAAATGTGGCTACTCGAAGATTTTAAATTGCACGTAAGGCTCACTTTATATTTCTCTTGAACAGCACTGGCCTAGATCCCTTCAGTGCCAGGCGGACTCAAGAGACACTCAGAGGTGGCCCCACTGCAGGCATCTGTCCATCCCCACCACCCTGCCTGCTACCAACCATCCCACACATCAGAGCCAGAAGGGTCTTCTAAAAGTATAAACCTGACCTTGTCCCTACCCTTCTCAGAACCTACCATAACTCCCCAGTGCCCTTGGGAAAAAGCCCAGATACCCCACTGGTCCAGCCTCGTCCTTCCCCACTCTTCCACACCCCCAGTGGACCCAGGTAAGCACCTGATCTGGCATACGGAGTAGTTAGGATACTGGGGCCCTGTCTGATCCTCGATAGGAGCTGTTATCGCCATTGTATAGATGAAGAAATTGAGGCAGGACAGGTTGCCTTACTAGCCCAAGGTCACACATAACTGGTGTGACTTCGAGTAGGGGTATGAACCCAGGGAATCTGATTCTAGATTGCTGCGCTCTATTGTTTAATTATATATTCTCTGGGGTCTCAGCTCAGCCATCCCCTGCTCCAGGAAGCTAACCTCCCAGGCTGGGTCAGGCTCCACCTCTGGGCTCCCACACTGGCCTCCTTGCTATCTATTTCTCAGAGTCACCAAGCTCTTTCCTTCCATGGTCTTCGCATCTGCTGTTTCCTCTGACTGGAATGCTTTGCCCCCAGATCTCCACATGGTTCAATCCCTTCTATCATTTGGGTCTTTGCTCACATGTAACTTTAATGGGCCTGTATCTTTAACAGAGAGGCCTTCCCCGAGCTCCCTTCCTGGAAACCTCCCAACTGCCCAGAGGGGGACCTCTGGGTTCCCAAGTCCCAGCCCTGCCCACTCTTGAGTCATCACTGTCTAGAGATGGATCTGTCTCCTCCACTGGAGAGTGAACCCCCGGGAGGAGAGGAGGGAGGAAGGGTCAGAGGTATCATGCTCATCATGGTGACCCCAGCAACACTGCCCAGCATGGGACTGAATGGATCAAAGCTCCTTTTCCAGAGGCTCCATGTCGTAAACCCCATGAAGCCTGACAGTGTAAATTCTGTTTCACACCCAAGTATTCTATCTGTGTCCGAGGTCACTGGGGCAGAATTTTCTAACTTCCACACACTGAGCCCAGCACAAAGCCCTACGCTAAGACAGCTTTTAGAGAATGCTCCGTGAAGCTCCATTTATTGTAAAACATCAGAAGCCAGAAAGACTGAAAATAAAAAGATGGGAAAAGACGGACCAGGCAAGTATGAACCAAGAGTCAAGGAGAGGAGTGACATTGCTGTTTAAAAAAACAGTAACAACTGACAAAAGCAAAAGGTATTATCAGGGACAAAGATGGTGACAA